ATTTTACTGCTGTCATGCAACTGTATTTCATAGCTACAGGCTAATAACTGTGACGAAGGAATTACTAAAGTGTTAAAAATTTCATTTAAAAAGGAACATTGCAGTCACTTTAAAAAGAAAACTCAGAACTCATCTGTTGAAAGCCATCGTGTGTGGGCAGGCACGGGGAGGACCAGCTGGGGTCCACCAGTCACCCATCGGGCTGTATTGTGCAGGCTGCCCCAGCAAAGCCCTGCCTGTCCCCAGGTGCCCCAGGGAAGCCCCGGCCTCCACATGGCAGGAGCAGCCTGGGGTCGGCAGCCCTGCTGTCGGTGGCCTGTCCAGCTATGCCTGCTGGAGGGCCCTGTGGGATAAGGGCTTAGACAAGACAAATGTGTCCACATACACCGCATTGCTAGGGCTACTGCTGGAATCCTGCAGACAGCCAATTGTATGGCTACGGCTAGGGCCCACAGATTGGTTCATAAACCCCTCACACGCCAGGCTGGGACACCAGACCCCTCACGTGTCCAGCTGGGTCACCAGACCCCTCACACGCAGGTCCATGAGCTAGGTAATTGGGAAAGATCCTGGGAGCTGTTGGCAGATGGCATGAGCTCAGTCCTCAGCTTCCTCAGCAGCAGCTTTCAGATCCAGCGGTGGTGGTGGCCTCTAGGGGCATCCTGGGGGCCCTGGCAGCCCTAGCAGCAACAGACTCCAGCAGCAGTAGCGGCCTCCCCCATGGCCCCCCTGGTGCTGTGGATCAGAGCCACTCATCCTTTATACTCAAGTCCGATAACCCAGGACACCTGGGTGCAAGTCAGACAATACCCAAGGAACACCTGGGCACACGTGCACAGTTACGTATTTACATCAAATGCTCAGCAAGATTCCGAACATCCGAGAGAGTCCTGACCAATATTCCTATATTTTCCCTACACACACCCATACCTGAAAGTCCATCTTAGTTACCTGCAGGTCTGCTTTTCTTGAACTCACTGTAAAAAACTGCTTTTGGCCAACTTCTTTTCTTATTCTGGCTGCTTTCACCACTGACCCCTAAAGCTACTTTAAGATGTGTTTAAAAAAAAAAAATAAATAAAGCTAAATTAAAAAAAATAAGTAAATATAGAGAAATGAGGCAGTGTGAAAAGAAATGAAGTTTAAATATTTAATTATGAAAGAAATATTAAGATGTATTTCAAGAATAATAGCTTCATGAAAGTAAGTATTTCTGGGGAAAAAATGAATTCAAAATAAATACACAGCTGACCTTTGGGAGAGGTTTATAGGAGAAAGTGTCCTCCTTAAAATGCGTCCTTTTGCCACAAGACTGCTAGGTTTTGATCAGAGTCACCAGAAAAAGGACTGTCATAACACTATAAATAAACCAGAAGAGCAAACTGAAAAAACCAAAAAAGAAAACTTTGACTAATTTTGTTCTAGGAAATGACTTGATTGCTACTAAAACAATCTGACAAGAAATTACGGCACGTTTCATTCAACAGCTCAGGTTCCATTTTAATTCCTTTAACAGCATGATGACCCTTCCTTCCAGAATCGGGGTCTCCCTTTCCCACTGAGAGATCCTACCTGTCATGGCCCTAGAGCAAGCAGCCATGCAGACATCCAGACTCCCGGTCAGGACAGACAGCTGAGCCGTCCCCTCCTAGAAATGCCCAGAACACTCGTCACTAATCAATCTTTGGAAATTCTTCAAGATGTCAAACCATATGAAATTTACAATATTTGATAAATTTTAATCTACAAAAATAGCAATATCGTTTGGTTCAACTTCATCCATACTTTTGTGGCTAGCCTTAAACATAAACAAATCAAGCACAGCTCGTTCACCTCACAGAAAGATCCTGAGAAGGAGAGAGAGGCCCTTTCAGCAGCAGGACAGACCACGTTCGGGCTTGAGGAAGAGACCAGGCCTAGCACTGAGAGGTGAGAAATCGTTCAAGCCAGGGCTTTAAGAAGAAGAGGTAAACGTGCTGGACCTCAAGAACTATTACAATCACATTTCTCAAAAGAGGCTGAAACGGACAGACCTGGTCTAAATCTCAGAAGCTAGAATATGATGAAAAAATGATTCGCTAAAGTATGTTAAACATATCCAAAAGTTAAAATGCACAGAAAATGGAATTGGCCAAGGAAACATTTATTCCATGTTAAAATGGACCCATTCCTCCAAGTCTGCAAAGAAGACTGATTTCTATCCCTCCTCAGCTTCCAGAGGGCTCTGAGATGCTGGAAGCCTTTCTCTCTGCGGGACCTTCCCCACACTGTTGACTTTACTGGCGTTACAAGGTGCAAGCTGGACAGAGAGCAAACCCAACTACTGCCGCACAGAAAGGGGCATTGCCACACTTGGGGGCAGTGCCAATTAACTCGCTGTTAACAATTGTGTGATAACCACCCAGCCCCCTTCTTTAAACCGTAAAATCTGTACACCTGGTCCCTGCCCAGGAGTCAATGATTGGGCTAAATTAGAAAAAGCTGGCTTGCATATGTTCAGGCGTGGGAAATCCCAGCCCCAGCAGCAACCACTAACTGTCTGCAGACGGGTCTGGCCCAGGGGACACCAGCCCCCAGGAGAAGGCCCCTGGAGTTGAGTACCCTGGGTCTGCATCTGGCTTCAGTGTTCCTAGAACACCAAGAGAAGGAAGGATGCTAGAGTCTGTCCCCTCTCCCACCCCACACCTTGCTGGAGTACACTTCATGCCAGTAAGAAGTGCCCACCTGCACTGCAGGGCTTGTCCGAGAGGGGCAGGGCTGAGGCGAGCTGCACGGCCTCCACCTGTAACCAAATGGCTACTTCTATGTCTTCCTGGTCACAAAGACCCACCATGACCTGCAGGCCCAGGAAGTGGCCTGGCATAGGCCCCGAGCCAAGACGGCAGGGGTAAATGGAGACAGTCCAAACTGCCTTTGAGGGCTAGGGATGTGGCTGAGGAGTCCCAGGCTGGCCGCCTCCACCCTTGCAGAGGCTGTTTGGGGATTTTCTGATCATTTCTAGTATCCCTCCTCCTCTGCTGGTCACACTGTCCTGGACTGTCCATTGGTAGCTGCAGAGGCTCCTTCTGCAGTCTTTGCCTGGTTTGCACAAGGATGTGTTACTCTCTGGACCCTGGGGGACCAACCAGCAGGACCCAGCTGTACGGCCAGCTGGGATTACCGTCTGGCTTGCAGACGAGTGAGTTTCTCTAAACTTTTTCTTTTTTTTGCAGCTGGCTGGAATGGGGATCAGAACTCATGACCTTGGTGTTATAAAGCTGCGTTCTAACCAACTGAGCTAACCAGCCAGCCAGCTTTCTAAACTTCTGCCTCTACATTTTTATTAAGTTACACAACAAACCTTAGGTAAACTTCAGGATTTTACAGGCTCGCTGTCCCCCTCACCGATCCCTCCATAAGATTATACAGATACTTCCTGCCCTGGTTTTATAATTTGTCTGTTCTGAGACCTTAAATGTCAGCTACTTATTTGGCAGACATATAGAGAGGGAAAGACTGCTGGGCAGTTCTTCTGTCTTGCTCCTACTGGCAGGGCGCTAATCTGCAATGACAACGGTGTACAAAAGAGTTCACTGCTCCCAGACTCCCAGGCCCCTACTTTAAACACCAAGCCACTCTCTGACTTCCTTGGACCACATGGCCATGTCCCGCCCCAAGCCTGGTACACGGGAGCATACAACAAGCAGGTGGCCCACACCAACAGTCAGGCCATCAACTCATGCTGCTGAGAAGAGGTGGGGTTGGGGCAAGTGGGTGGCCAGGGGGGCTGCAGCTGGTCCCTTCCCTGGCAGCACCCGGTTGGTGGACGTGGATGATGGAGGGCTTCTCGTATGTGGGTAGCACAGTGCAAAGGCCCACGCACTTCAGGTCTCCACATGCCCATCCTGGAGACCCCCTTTTAGAAATTCTGAAGCCCCTACTGAGAGAAACCTTCTGGCGAAAGTTCCGTACGATACAGGGATAGCGGGGGCCTGGCTCATTACAGCTGTGCTGTTTCAGTTCATTACGCACAAGAAAGGTTCAAAGTTCTATCTGTTCCATTGTCTGACCTTGTTAGTGAACTCAGGTTTTAGCCCAACCTTCAGGAGTTTCTCTTCCTGCTTCTCCTGAAAACTCTGCTCCATTTTCAAGTTTGTTTTGCTGAAAATCATAGCAGCTATTAGAAAAAACATTATACCTAGTAAATCCCATTTTCAAATTCAAGATCGCTTTAAATCCACCATATCTAAAGTCTCAGGGTATTTTTTCCCCTAAGGATATGTATGTATACATCAACACATATACCTCTCTATATGAATACATATTCATTTATATTAAAATGATTATTCATAAAAAATCACTGCAAAATAAATCTCTGGTATGGGTCTAGAATAATTTTCGTTGCTGCAATGAATTTCTATATTGAGCAGATCCAAAAAGAAGCTTTAAAATGTTTTTAGTTTATCACAGTCTTTAAGTGCCTTTTAGCAGGCTACATTTGAGCAACAAATTCTCAATTCATCTCTTAAGACTACGACTATGGTAAGCTGGAGAAATTCAGCTTCAAACTTATCTGGGAAGATACAATGCTGCTCCCTGATATGATGTAACTGTCACCAAAGAGTTTATGGAAGAGGCTAATTGTCCACGTACAAGTCTCATTTTCTGTGCTGTTGGCAAGCAGATAGTTTAAGTTAACAATAAGCTTATTGAAAAATTTACTGCCATTCAGTTGTGTTCCTATTTAAACCTTTCAGCCAGTGAGAGTCAGAAGTCGATCTGCATGCATCATTTTTATTGCCTTTGCCAAGAATTATGCGACCACGTGCCAAAACTAACACAACTGCTTGGAGTGGGAGGAGACTGGGGACTCTTGTCCGTGAGCCCGGCCACAGGCCGCTATGCTTAGATGATGTAACACACCATGTCGGTACAGTCAGTAAAACAGAGCTGAGACCTAAGTGACGGTCACTGAGTCGACTTCCCTGGGGGAAAGGCCACGCGACGGTGTAGTTACCAACCTTGCTGGAAGACGGGGTGGTGCAGGGCTGGCATGGGCAGCTCCGTGAGGGCCGCGGGCTCGTGGAAGTAGGCACCCAGCCAGGCTGCGCCCTGTGCCAGGGGCTCTGCCATCCTCTCCACACTGCTGGGGGCTGCAGGAAGAGCCGGGGCCTCTGTGGGCCTGCAAAAGTGACAACAGGGGCTTATTAACCTCTGGGCCCTGCCTCCACACACCTGAAAAGCACACGCCACTGCACCCACACGGGGAACCTCTGTAGCTGCTTCATGGGTGCCCGTGGCTCAGAGGCATGACAGGCATTAGGACAGCACAAAGGTGGGCTTGGGAGGGGAGGCAGGAAGATGCCGGGAGGTCACTGCACCCTTCTTTCCAGCTCAGGCTTTAGAAGCCCGAGGAAAGTCCCAGTACATGGGCTCTGGAAGTCTGCGGTGACAGTGTGAAGCACAGAACCTGAGAGAGCAGCATGACACGCGGGGGCGAGTGTGCCGCCTTCTAAGACTGGTGGGCGGCACGTCTGCAGTGCAGCCATCCAGCACTCATCACCACACACGTTTTCCAGAATGTCATCAAAGTGGCGAGACCGCACTGCACACCCCACCCCGAGTCCCACGCTGGAAGGCACATCCATGCCCCGCCGTGGCTTTGTGCACGTTCTGTCTGTACAGTCCCCGCTCCAGCCGGTCTAGTCTGTGTTTGTGTCACCCGTGCATCTGTCATTTCAGTGTAGCACTGTGACCTTTATGCTGGTGTCCTCCAATGGTTCTTTCTCAAATCTTCCTGTTCGTTCTTCCTGGTTATCATCCTCCCTCTGATCTTAAGTGTAAAACTGCACGTTTTAGGGTCACTTTAGATGGTTTCACGGCTGCTTCCCCTGGAGGCGTTCACCCTCCTGTCTGTTGGGTCTGGTGGCCCCGCTTGTGGAGAGTTTGAGGCAGCCTCGAAAAGATGATGCCGTCACAACTTCGTAAAGCCCCACCTTCACACAAAGAGCTCACGTGGTTTCTACAGCAATTACTTCTCGCTTTTCCTGGGAGGTCAGCAGCAAGATTGTACAAATCCAAACCAAGCACCCAATAAGGCTAGAGGTAAAAAAGAAACCGCGCAGCTTCCCCAGAGTTAAAAAGGTTTACTCTCTTACACAGTTAAAACAGAAATAAAAGATAACAGTGGCTTATGCATCCAGTTAAACAAGCACAGTCTTTCCTCTTTTGGGTTTGTGTTCGAGATGATATAACTTACTCAAGCTTAAAACATGCTGTGGGCAGAAATGTCTTGTGCTTTTTCTGTCTCAGAATAGAAGCACAGGTTCAACGGGAGCAGCTTCTGCATTCCACCTAGATAGTCACATTTTCAATAAGAGACAGCAAACCTGTGGCCTGAAGAAGTTCTCCAGCTTCTACCTGAACAAATGCCTGGGGTGTTCCATTTCCCTATGAAACTGGCACATGTCCAACAGCACACACATCCACAAAACGTGGTGATGCTGTGGCCACAGCCCCAGGTTATGGAGAGCAGCTCGGGACAGGTGCGCAGTCTGCATCATCTCAGCTGTTTCCATGTAGCGCTGTGGGTGCCTTCTGCTGTTGGCGGAGGGCTGGGGATGGAAACGGACACAGTGCAGTGGCATGTTGGGGTTTTCTGGCTCTTTTAGGCACTGCAGATCCAGCACTGTGCGCTTCATCCTACAGCAGGGGCAACAGAGAAGGCTTTAAGCGAGGTCTTATAAAGGATCCTGTGCTGGAGTCTAAGCCCCTGGGTCAGGGTGTTTGGTGGGGGTAAGAGTCTCTGCCTAGGTCCTTGGATCTTTCTAATAGTGAACTTCCTGGGGTGGGATGCAGAAGGGGTCCCCTTTACACTGTTTTGGTCAGAGAAGGCTTTCCAATCATATAAATCCTGAGAGCTTTAAGGAAAAAACCCGGGAATGAATAGAGACGGAAGAAATGAGCTCACCAGGATGACCAGGCAGAGACGGACAAGTGAGACCAGAAGTCAGACCTGAGACTCAGACCCCGCAGAGCTGCTAAGGTCGGTTGATCCTGTTGACACCAGGACTAGACAGAAGAGGCGCAGGCCCTGTCTATGCTGCCACAGCGCTAGGCCCCTGCCCGAGGGAACCCGGGCAGACAGGGCCTTTCATTGCCCAGTGCCCTGAGTAAACAGGCTGTGGTCTGGACAGCCCGGGCCTGCACACAGAGAGGCCCGAGGGATGGCGGGCTCGCTCCAGGCACAGGAGGGCCCCTGAGCAGGGCCACAGGATGGCCCCTCTGAGTTTCCCTGGGGATAGAGATGCCGCTTTCTCACTGCCCTGATTTCTCTCCCCGTTAGCGAGGTCTGCTCATGGAAAGAACTTCTGTTAAAAATCATTCTGTTTCAGAGACACATTCCAGTCATTCTGTCCTTGCTCTGTTCCTTACTGCCGGAATCAACAGTGTACGGATGACATCTAAAAGAAATACGCCATGTGCTTTGCCATGCTGATCCCAGGGAACAGAGGGAGCGTGGAGGTAGGGTGAATGGTGCGTGCTGAGTGAGCTGAGCCCCTCCGGAGCAGAGCTAAGGGCATGCGGCCCAAGGATGGCCCAGAGCCACCGCAGCTCAGACACGAAGTGGACAGGGCCAATGCCCCCACGAGCACAGACCCACATCTGAGGAAGTAAGAGGGGCGGAGAGGGCCCGAACCTCCCTCCCAGCAAACCCCTTGGCCTGGCACCTTCTGTGGCAAGAGTTCAGCTGGCCTCTCCTGCAGAGTGTGAGGGATGGGCCGGGCTGGGGTCAACAGGTGGCAAAGGGTTAGGCCTGATCAGACCCTCCCAGGCACTGTCCCCACCAGCAGACCCCCTCCACGTTGCTGAGGGAATTGAAATGTGAAGCTGTGTTTCCAGCATTTCCCACTCTTAAAAGGATATTTGAAGAATTTTTATAGTAGTAAAATTCATCTTAAATTGATTTTTTATGCTTGTGCTAAAGATCTCAACCTCTGATTTACTCTAGTTCTCCTTTTAACTCCTTCTCTATTGGCATTAGATAACTATTCATGGGTGAAATGTAATTAAACAGCTTTGATTCTGAAGCAAGGATTTATGACACTACATTTAAAATGAATGGCATTAAACACACACATAAAACCAGATTTTTAAAGCCATGACACAAATTTCCATTTCTACAATAAAATGAAATTGATTCTCCCGCCCTGCCTTCTCCTCCAACCTTGCTCGTGTGCCCTGAAGGGGCCGAGCTGCGACGGCCCCGCAGACGGCTGCTCCCACGACAGAGATCCCCCAGGTTCCTGCGCCCAGCCCGGATCGCCGCTCATTCGGGCTCCGCGGCCCACGCTCCCTGAAACCCCACATCCACGTCTTCCCTGGGAGCTGCTGACTCGCCCACCACTGGAATGCAAACCCCTATGGCCAGTTCCATTGTCACCAGGAGAGCACCACCGCTGGGGAGCCCAAGTCGTGAGGTCCCAGGCACCCCTGTGGAGTCACCTCAGAAGACAGCATTGCACAGGGAACGAGACCCTCCACACCAGCGGGGGTGGCACAGAGGGGGCGCATCAGAGGCACATTCCCCCAGGACCTCTCCTAGGATGTCCTTTGTCACCCACAGAACAATCCACAGGTGAACAGCATGACCCTGGAGCTCGTTTTTTTTCAACTTGGCATAACAGGATAGCCGGTGGCCAAAAAGGAATCTGGCTTTGCTGAGCTTCTGTACACATGGCAACAGAGAGTCCTGGCACTTAACATGGCAGAGCCAGAGCACGTATGGCCTGGTCTAAGGATTTCTTCAAGAAATACACAACTGTTGGCCATCCCGGGGTTCCTTAAACACGATGTGACAACAGCAAGCAGCCTTCCAGAGAAGATCCTGGAGTCTCAGCGCACTGGCCCTGGGTGACGTTCTCCAGGAGGTGAGAAGCCGCCGTGACCTGTTCCCTCTCTGGGCTTGGAGGAGGGACATCCCAGTGCTGAACTGTACTTCAAGTTTGTTTTGATATAAGCGGGACATAGGAAAGTGGTTAGAATGCTCCTGCACAAACGTCTGATGTGTGAGCACAGAAGCTGTCTAAGGGGAAGCTGTCCTTTCCATCTGTGTGACGCCTGCATCACAGGATGCTGACACTAGGAAGAACAGGAAGGAAAATTGGCAGCATCAGGCCTGGGGACAGGGGAACCAGAGGGCGACTGGCCAAATTCAAATTCCAGGGCCGCTGGTGGACGTGGACATCTGTCTGCTGCGTGGGAAGCGCTGCCTGGCCCTGGCTGGTCTTTCCCTCTGCATCCAGCTATGTCAGCCACTCCAGAACTGTGTACCCCCCGTCCTCAGGGGTGAGGATGCCCGCCTGCCGCCTGGGTGAGCCCATGGAATACACGTTGCTGGAGGTCTAGCGCCTCACCGAGCACTGGCGCGTGCCTGGCAGGACACGGGAGAGTGGAAAGAGCATTCCTGGCACTGAGTCTGCCAGTCTTCCCGAGTTGCAGACGTGCTCAGTACTCTCAAGCTTGACCGGGTCAGCGGGAGATTTGGGAATTCAGGTTTTGGGTGTTGTAAGACTCTATTGGCAGTAAAGAATCCATACATGCTTATTTCTGAGTGAGTTCTACTCCCCAAAGACATTATGATGTAACATACTTGGTTTAAATCCAATCTGATGGAAGAAAACAGGCCAAAAGTTCTAAGTTACTCACATCTCATTAGCACTGTCAGTTACCCCAGTGGGTGGACTGCAAATCATCCAGATCAGGAGTGCAGGGTTTCACCCTCCTCTCTCCTGTGACTGCAGTGTTCCCGACCTCTCTCCCTCCATCAGATGACTCTTCATCTTATGGCTTGGGAATGTTAACTGGTGACACTGGTAGGTTGGCCAAGAAAGTTCTAAAGGTACATATCCTCTGAGCACTTCTGGAATCTGGCAAAGAGCCCACAGGGCCGTGTCCTTCAGCAGGCTGTAAGGAGGCAGCGTGAAGCCCCTGGACACTCTGGTGACCTTTCAGTGGGAGGAAGAGCCCAGGGCCTGGGCCACACACAGCATGCAGACGCCCTTAAGATGAGAAACATTCCCCAAGCCAGCCGAGCTCGCCAGGCCAACTCTGCCTCCTCTGCCTTCCAGGACTCAGCATGAGGAGTAGGGGAGGCCTCTGGGACCCCAGGAGAGAGTGCCA